CCCCGCCCCGCCCCGCCCCGCGCTCACCACCCTCTCCCCGCAGCGCCGAGCACAGGAGCGCCGCACACCGCTTCTGGTGGGAGAACAAAGCAGAGCTCAAGCTGAAGCACCACTTCCTCATCTCGCCCCAGGACTACACACGGTACCTGCCCCGGGGGGTGGGGGGCTTCCTGCGGCCCAGCCCCTGCCCCTGCCGTGTCCGCGCGCTCCCCTTGCGGCGCTGCACGGCCGTCCCTGGGGAGCGCCACGTCCCCGCATGGCTTCCCCGTACCCTGCCCAGCCAGCGGTCGCTGTGGCCTGCCCGCCCGGGGTTTTGCTCCAGCCTCTGCCCTCTCACAGCTCCTCACTCACCCACCCGTCCCCTGCTGCGGGCTGGCGCCCTGCACGAGGCAGAAGTCAGGCTGAGACTCCAACCCTTGTCCAAGCCCCATGAGCCGGGCCCACCCTTGCAGAGCCCTGCAGGCACTGCTAGCTCCCAGGCCAAGTCAGACTATACAACTCCTCACCAGCGACTGATTTGAAGCACTTTTTCAGGTTCAAATCCTCCCTCATCAAAGCCTTGGATGCTTACGAAGAAAAAGAGGACAAGACCATTAAAGAGGTGATCAGAGATGCTGTGTTGAGCTGTGCTCGACTCACCTGCCCACTTTGCCTTTAGTTCTTAGCCTGTTTCTCACCTTCTTCAATTCCAGATGGCGTCTCACATCCGAGAGGTCGAGGAGAGCAGGCGGCAGCTGGTGCAAGCGGTCTTAGAGGTTTGTTTCGCAGGACGCACCTGAACAGTATCCAGCACAGTGAGGGCATTTGCTGCCTTGAGCCCTGTGGGCTCCTTTAAGTGTGTCTCTCTCCTTTGACTCTTCCACTGAAACCATGTATTGCTTTGAACAACTTCTCTCCCCTGCCTGCAGGGAGGCCAGAATTTCCCCCCAAGTGACCCCTGGCAGGTCTGTCCTTCTTGCCTCCAAATGACCTGCTCAACTCTGGTTGGGCAAGCGATCTGTGGGCAGTGCCTGGCTTGCATCGTGCTAGCTGGAGCCAAAATAGTGGCACCATGTTTGCAAGTTATTTTGGTCAGGGTTAAAAGCTGGTCGTAGAGAAGGAACCACAAATAAAATGTACTGGTGTTGCACTAGGCACCTGCACTAGTAGCTATCACTTTCCTATATTAACAATTTGAAGAAGCATCTAGTACCAGATGCACCCACTTTCAGCAAGTCTAGTCTTCCACTTAAAGGGAACGGGATTACTGATCCATTAGGGGCTTTGGCTAGGCTTCTTAGCTGCTCCTCAGGGGTAAGTACTGGCCCTTACCCACTTCTTCAGTGCGGTTGTTGAGTTTGTGGGCAGTGGGCCCACTCCTGTCAGGGGTCAGGATTCTGTAATTGGAGCCAAGCTCATTTGTCTGTTTGTGATACATAAGCCACAGGCTCTGTAGGATAAATAAGCTTTAGGGTCAGCACTGAAAATTACCCCTTCCCCATAACCCAGACGTGAATGGCCTACCTCACTTTGAGGTGTCTAACAAAACCGAAGGGGTCTGTTGTTAAATACCAGAAAATTGTTTATTTTTCCTGAATCAAACCCAGCCTGAGAAAGAGACAGAACCTTGTGATAGACCTTCCGTCTTCAATGCACCCGGTGTCTCTGAAAGGTAAGAAACTTGCCTCTACCCATCTCCTTTCTGGGAACTTTTAACACGGAGCAGTAATTACCTAGAGCCTTATCATCACTTTCCCCAGCTAGAGTAGCTAAAACCTTGAGGACCTGACTCGGGCCATTTTATCTTGCAGACCTGTAGCAAGGAGTTAGTGCAACTTCGGCATAAGAGCTAGATATGGTCAGATGCAGTCTGTATTTCCCACGTTCTCTCTCTCTCATCACCACTAAAAATGCTCAGGGTTTCAAAAAAATAAATAATAAAGTGCCATTGCCTTGCCTCCACTACCAAGACTTACATTTAACAAGTGGATGCTGTACTTTGAGATAATTATGGCTTTGCTCCAAGCTGCAAGTAAAGTTCCTTACCCGTTTGGCTGTTTCTGTTCTAGTGACATCACCTGCTGCACTAAGGAGCAGCCTGGTCCAAGTAGGATGCAACCATTGTCTGATTTAGATTGGATGGAAAAAGGGCATGCTCTGACTTTTATTGGCCACCAGGTAAGGCTGGGGTGGGGTTTATTGACTTACTGTTTCCCTTGCTAAGGGGTACGGGTAATTCGGATCACAGTGAATGCAATTAGTCCTGTTAGCACTTGCTGAGGATCAAAATTATGGTTTGCAGATGCATTGTGACTGTTGCATGGCTGCTGAAAAAAAAGCAAACATTGATTGTAGCAACAGGTCAGCTGTAAAGACATTAAGTCTTTTTTCCCTACTAACTGAGTGTGTCCTAAAAGAAATGCACTGAAACATAGATGTCCCTGGTACAGGACCACTCTTTTGCAAGGAGGAAAAGAAAGTCTCTTTGCTTATCCTTCAGAAAAGGGAATTTAAAATAGAATTTGTATTCTCGTAATTGAAGATAAGTAGCTTTGAGGAATTCTGTTATATATGCTTGACATTATATGAATCTCTGCTGCTGTCCTTTTAGCACCTATCAGCTGTTACAGGCAAAAGTTGCAGTGGAGTTACCTTAACAGAGAACCTTTCTAATTGGCATATTATTTTTCTCCCCTTGCATTTTTTTTTTTTTTTTTTTTTAAAACAAACCAAACCAAACAGGAAACTGATGGGAAGGGGAACATTCACACAGGTAAGCCTTTGCTATTATTTCACTTTTGCCACCTTTCTGTAAATCTACAGGCTCTGGATTTTCTCACCTACATTCAAAGTAACTTTAGAACACAACTTGAGGAAGACCAGAACCATTAGGTCCCTTGCTCATGTTCTGAACTGACCTGAGGATGGGCAAAAAGCCTCCTTTATAAATGTAATAAAGGAGTGGCTGTTGCTGCTCCATCATGTACACTTGTCTAAATATCAGTCATTGTGATGCTCAGCTGAAGTACCTCTGCTTTTTTTTTT